ATTAATATAATTAACGGCTTGACATGTTGGGCAGGACTGGACATACGCCCTTGTTAACTTTTGCAGTTCAGGAAAGTAGACTGCCTCGCGTACGCGTTGAGTAGTTTTTCGAATACCAGCATGAGAAGCTAAAGGGCTGTCATGGAGCTCTTGCAGGATATTTAATCTAAGACTAGCTGGGATAACAGGTCGAAATTCGTTGTTGGAATTCGTAGTTTTTGTATAAAATAATAGACCATCTATTAGTTCGTAATGGGCCGCCCTATTTCTTATCGCCACAATATCTTGGTGGCTAAAATTTTCAGGATCCTTCAAATACTCATAAATACTTCCAAACTCAGGATCCTTACCCAGTTCGGTTATTACAGTTTCTCGGGAATTTATTGTACACGCTGTCAGCATTGCAACTTTTACGGTATTACCCTGTTCGTTCGTCTAATTTAATTCGTGACAGGGCATCTGCTACGATATTTTCCTTTCCGGGGGTATGCTTGATTACCAGATTATATTCTTGCAGCTTGAGTGCCCATCTTATTAACCTTGGGGATAAATTTTTTTCAGAGTACAATCTAGTTACCGCCGCATGATCAGAATATACTGTTATCGGCGCCTTTCCAAAATAGACTCGGAACTTTTGCACTGCTAACAGAACTGCAAGTGCCTCTCTCTCGGTCGCGGAATAGTTTCTTTGTGTTTGATTTAAAGTTCGGCTAAAAAATGCTACTGGCTGCTGATTTTGCGAAAGTACCGCTCCTACCGCATAATCCGAAGCATCCGCTGAAATTTCTAAATTTTCATCCTTTTCAGGAAATTTCAACACAGGGGCTTGCGTTAATGCTTGTTTTAATTTTTCGAAAGCACTATTGGCTTCGGCCGTCCACGAGAATCTTGCCTTTTTCCTTTTTAATTTTAACAATGGCTCAGCGATAGCCGCAAAATCTTTTATAAAGGACCTATAATATGAACAAAGTCCTAGAAAAGAAGAGAGCTTCTTTGCCGTGTTTGGAGTCGGATACTTTTGTACCGCGATTATTTTTGATTCATCTGTCTCGATCCCTTTTTGCGATATTTTGTAACCTAAATATTTTAATTCAGGGGCTGCAAATTTGCATTTTTCGACATTAACTTTTAGACCGGCCTCATTTAATAAAGAGAAACACCTGTCTTAAATCCTGTACATGTTGGTCTAGATTATCACTAGTAATAATGATATCGTCTAAATAGATAAATGTGGACTTTCCGAGAACAGGTCTTAACACAATGTCCATGCATCGCTGAAATGTTGCTGGGGCGCCTGAAAGGCCAAACGGCATTCGCAAAAATGCATAAGTGCCAGACTTGGTTATAAAAGCAGTCTTAGGCACGTCCTCAGGCCTGATCCCTATTTGAAAATAACCATTCGTTAAGTCTAAAGTTGTCATAAATTTGGTTGATTTTATGTTCCTTAAAATTTCTTCTATAATCGGTAACGGATATACCGGATATTTTCGTTATGGAATTTAATTTACGGTAATCAATAGCGAATCTCCCACCTTTTTGGATGCTCCAAAGGATAATCATTATTTTCTTACATAAAACCACCGGACTAGCATAACTACTTGAGATAGGCGTTACGATCTTTTTACGTAGCATATCGGTAATATGCCATTCTATAATTTTTTTCCTTATTCTTATCATACCGGTATGGTTTTTTGACGAACCGGCAATGCATCTCCGGTGTCAATACTATGGTTAGTAACCTGGGTAAATCCTGGAATATCACTAAATAAGGAAGCAAATTCACTTACCACTTGTCGGATTCTATCTTGCTCGTCATTAGGCAGGTGGTCGAGATTTACCCTTGGCGGTTCAACCTTTTCTACACGCACTGGCTTCATCGTCAGCTTAAGAGACGCTTCATTAAAATCCAGTGTAGCTTGTGCGTCTGAAAGAAAGTCTATTCCTAGTATTAAGTGTGCTTGCAAATTCTTTACTATAAAAAACATCACCTTTACTTGTTCGTCCTTGATACGGATGTACAAAGGTACTTTTACCTACGCACTTACATTGTTCTCCTTGCGCCGCTAATACTGTTGTATTATCCGCATTATATATGCGGTATTTGCGAAAATACTTTCTAAAAAAGACTTCTGCCACACAGGAACACTGCGCGCCGGTATCCAGGAGTGCGGTGGCCGGGATATTATTTACCAAGACTTCAATCTTCGGAAGAGTTAAATTTTTTCACCATTACTGTATTTAACTTGTAGGAAGAGGGGTTTTCGTGGCCTTCGGATTTCCGCACCCTCTCGTCAGCAGAAATCCGTTTTAGTTTAAATTATTTTTTCTTTCGGTGCTTTCCTTCTTTCTCCACTGGCCTTGAGACTTTTTTTCTGGGTTGCTATTGAACTGTCGACGTTCGCCGGCTGTTTTTGAATGCTCGGGTTTCCTTGCCCACTGATTCGCTTTTTCTCCGTAGCCACGTGCTTGAGTTTGCTGTAGTCTTGGCGTACCAAATTGGTTTCGCTGTTGATATTGGCGTCTTCTTTCGACGTCCGCCGTTCTTCTACGTTCAAACTGGATTGCTAGCTCAAATAATTTTTCCAGTGTAGTCGGATTTCTCAATTCAATAAAGTCTTGCACTTGGGGTAGTAACCTCGGCAAAATCACTTGAATTATTTCAGGATCCGGACGGTTTCCATACAAGAGCTTGAAAACGTGAATTTTTCTTAAAATAAACCTGGAGAGGTTTTCCATTCTTTGTTGATATATACTGAAAAGTTCTGTTTCTAATTTCGCACGATCCCTTACAACAGGGAAGGCTTTTAGTAGGGCAGTCTTGAAATTTTCGTAGGTATAGGTGGGACTTCCTGCTTGACCCAAGAGACTTCTGCCGATACATTTGAACCAGTTAAGCGCTTGGCCCCTCAAAGCGCTGGTAGCTAAGGTAACTTTTTGAAACTCGTGCACGGGGTAGAGCATGAAGTGGTCATCCAATTTTTCCAAAAAACTGGTTACCTGTGAGTTTCCATTAAACGTTGCTTCTGGTTTTATCGAAGCGCGCATGGTCTGGACAATATACCCAAATCCTTCCAGGGCGGCAGCTGGCATTTCTGGATTCTGAGCTGTTTCTGCAGGCAGCACAGGTTCTTCTTGAAACTCGGCCATGGTTATTCTTCGTCGGGCGCCACTATCAGGTTCAATGTTTCTTCTTACCTTCTTCGGAAACATACAATGACCTGACTAGAACAGAGAGCTTACTAAAGCTATGTTCACTAATTGTAGTAAGTAGACAGGATACAGACGAAGGGTATACAAAACCCTTTATTTTTTTTTCTTTATATACAATGACTTCCGTACTTCGGAATACAATGACCCTCCACTCGGGGTCTAACTTAAAAGATATCAAAATAAAACTAAACTCTAATTTAACTTTAGAATAAGATTGGCCTTATAATAACAGGAAGCGTATGTAGCACAGAGACTGTGAACACTACAATACGTTTAATTTATCAAGAGGATTAAAACCTCTGGCCTGGAAGGCAAAGTAGCAACTGCGTAACTTCTAAGGTAAGCGGCCTGCTTCGAACTCACGGCTTCCTCTCTTCTGCTTGGCAAAAAGGCCACACTTAAATACTTGGCGTTCGCCAGACAACTTTGCATAAAACTCCTTCACGCTTATAATTCTGGCCGGAAGTAGAAAATAAGAAGTGATAGTAAAGATTTAAAATAAAATAAACGTTAGTAAAACTTAAGATCCTTACAAAATTATCTTTAAATTCTCACTGCAAATAGTCGGTGCTATTGTATGCACGTATGTCCGTGCCTTTATGTTAAAAAGTTCTGATTAATAAAACAATCTTTTACACCCTTTCTCTGTTGTGTTTATCTTCACGCCTGTGCGAGAATTCTCATAGGTTTGACACCCAAGTCGATCTAGTTACATTGTAGGATAGCCAAGCAGAGTAGATCCTACGGAACATGTTTCCAGAATTTTTTGGTAGTTAAATTATGTAGCTAGATTTGGTGGATCTTTTTCTCTTCTGATTAATAGACTTAAGCATGCCAAAAGCTGTTTTTTTTTTCACAATCGGGGTAACAGTTTTCAGGGGAAAACTTACGTTTCAGACTCGCTCAGAAAAAAAGGACTAAGTTTCTCTGCGTATAGCGTTCTCCAATGTGATACGAAAACAAAGGAAAAGATTAAAAGCAAATATCTGAAATCGCGATACTGAGCTCTTAACTTTCCCTTCAAGTTCATTGGCGTTATCCACTACTTATAAGAAAAGTTGAAGAGAGACACGTAGATAGTGAATTATTTCCAAATCACATTAGAAAACTATGGCATCTTCTACATACGAGTTCTCGAAAGTTCTCGTAGTTCTCGAAAATCAGGTGATGGAAATGATATATGCTGAAAATTCAAACTAAACATCGCATAAATAAATGTGTCTGATAAAAACTATCTGACTTTATATAAAGCATTTAAATAATGTTCTGCAAATGAAAATTAAATATGACTCTAATTTCGAGATTACCTCGATTTTTGGATTCTAAGATTATAATAAGGATTGTAATAAGTTTCTAGGATTGTAATAAGTCCCTGAAGAACTAATGAAACTTGATGTTACTTAAGTAGCCTTAGCTTAGTTAAAGAAGGTTACTATTCTGCAACTTCTGGGGAAAAAGAAACCGTCAACAAATGGATCCTATAGTCATCGAACGCGTGTTATTAGAGAGATAGCATAAACTAGATGTGTGTGTTGCACAACTTTTCTGAGAAGATTCTTTAAAATTTCTTATGATGATGCTTATCTTATCCATATACTATACTATATTCAGAATGTAACTTAATGTCATTAATTCAAAATATAACTGAATGTTATTAATTCAGAATATAACTGAATGTTATTAATTCAAAATATAACTGAATTGACATTTAATGTGAATTTAAGTCAGTTTCATATTAAAAATAATTAAGTATATTCATATTAAAAAAGCATAAAGAGAGAAAATATTACCAGTCTCTCTTCTTCGTCCTCTATTCCGAAGACATCTTCAGGCTGAAACAAAAAATACGAGTTAGACATTGGTAACGCTTTCAGAGACTCTTCACACCGGCAGTTGAATCGCAATTCCAATTATATGCGAACAGCTGCATTAAAAATTTAGTTTATTTAAAAAATCCTGAAGGAAGAATTTAAATTTTCGATTTCTTACTTAAACAAATAAAAGACTTAGTGTACGGATTTTAATTTCATATGAATGTTATTTAAAGCAAATAGTATATATATTTCACTTCCATTTTTAAGTATACTCTAAAATGTTATAAGAATTCAATTTATAATTTTAATTAAATCTAAAAATATTTACAAAATCTGTATAGTTAAAAACAAAGCTTTTCACTTCAATTAAAAAGTGGTGTAATATTAAATGACCAAAAAATTGATCTGGGGAATTTTCAAGCTAATTGTCTTTTCTCTTCACTGATCGTAAATAACATGAACTCATAGCTTCTTGTTATTGAAAAATTAATCTTCCTTCAAAGAAATGGCCGAAAAGTGGCCAAGCGGAGATGTCGTTGAACAATGGTTAGTTAAACCTGTGCTCGGTTCTAGGCAAACGAGCTGGCTGCATGGTCGATTTCGTTACTTTCCCCATATGTAACGTGTATATGATCCAGTTTCACTTAGAAAGTCCCCCACGAAGACATCCCTCAGCTTATGTAGATAGCTCTCGAGTGCTTTTAATCAAAATAAAACAAACCAAATTAATTCAAAGATGTATTGCAACATATAAATGATTTTTGAATGTCAGAAGTTTAATTATTTATCAGTTTTAGAACTATGGAAAACGGTAAGTAGAGAAAAAATAGTTTTACCATTTCCACAGAAAATACTTTCAGTACTCTGTACTGAGACACTCTGTATCAAAAATATACCAAAAGGGTGATTTAGAACTATAAACAACGCACGCGAATGATATTGTAATGTGAGAAAATGTGTGTTGAATGGATGGAATTATTAATTCGATTAAAGATGCCAACTTTTGCAAAAGCACTTTTGCTATTTTAGACAAGAAGAATTGAATAAAATTCCTGTTAGTAAAACATTGATTATAAAAAAGAAGTTTCACAGTCTCATTGGAAATTTCATAAAGATACACTTAATGAATATTTTCACTCCCTCTCCCCACCCCGGAAAAAAGAGCAAATTACAAATTTAGTGACGAGAGCTGTTTTACCAAAGATGTGTCCATTAATCAGCAGCAAACCAAGTCCCCATTAGATATTTTGTTGCTCATCCTTAAATTTGTTTTTCAAAATCTTGATTGTAAGTTGGTGTAGGCAAGGAAAACTGAATTCAATAAATTTATTTTGGAATATCTCGGCAAATTTTCTGAATAAAGGTATAGAATATGTTGTCCTTAGCCAATTAAAATATAATTTTATTAACTAGAATATTTATTCATATAAAAATTAAAATTTTGCTTAAACAGAACTCTTCGTTCACAGTGCTGGAGCAACTTGCATAAAATTATTTAGAGCTACTTCATTTTAAGAATTTTAGATTTAGGAATATTTAAGATGTTTGCATATTCGAGCAAAACATTCAGAGGGGGTGATAGTAAGCATCAAGAGGATGAAAAATTAACATAAAACATCGAGTGGTAAACCCCGTTTAGCAGTGAAAATTGCAAAAATAAAGCCTCTCAACCTTTTGACAACCTTTTGACTCAACCTTTTGACTCTCAACCTTTTAACAACCTTTTGACTTTCAACCTTTTGAGCAGCACCTCTCAACCTTTTGACTAACGCGTACCATCTAAACCAAAAATTCAAAACCTTTAGTACCACCACTAGAAAGTACTACTACCACCACCGCTCTTGAACAAAGCTCAGATCGCAATGTTACGATTACATACATTTACGAGTGTTAGAAAAAACTCAACCAGGATGTTGGAGTTTTAAATTTTGAATTTAATAGTTAAAAATATTTTGCTTCTTTGCGTACCACCTATTTTTCTCTTGCGTACCACCAGTGGTACGCGTACCATCGGTTGAGAACCCCTGGTCTAGAGGACAATGAGCCTGACAAAGAAAGTGGCCAAACAAATGCGAGGATTTTTAAGTTTTCTGTTTAAGGGGTGCGTATATTTCGCCTCGTTATTTGGAAGGATCCCGTCTCAAGCAGCCGTCGATCAATGTTCCAGAAGGTGGCGTAATAGGGATGGCGCTTTTCGCATGTTGCTTTTGATATATGCTGTCATGCATATCCGCATATTCCTCGTTCGTGTAATCTGGCATGTTGTTTCCGAATGAAGTTCAACATCCGCGAGTTCCGCAATGCCACTAATGAATACTCGTTCGCTGCTTTTATTTTTTTTCCATGCGCATAGGAAATTGGCATACGAGAAGCTTTCTTGACTGCAGTGCTCCTAAATCCTCGTATTTGTTTGACCGCTCTCTTTGTCAGGCTCACTGTCCTCTGGACGTCTATTTTTTGCGATTTACACCCGCTAAATATAGTTTGCGACCCCATGTTCTAAGGTAATTTTTGATCCTCTTGATGCCTACTATCATTTCTCGGCATTTGTCTGATGAATTTGAAAACACCCTGTATATCTAGACACAATTTTATTTAAAAGGAAATAAATCTTATAGCCACTTTGCGAATACCGTGCATAGCAGCTTAATACATAGGTGCCTTTCCCTTCTAGTTTTTCCATTCTTATTGTTACCTTAATAGATAAGTTGCTTTTTCTAGAAGAAAAATATAAAAACAATGCCTAATTTTGAGTTAATGATATTAAAGAAAGTCGCATTTGTAAAAAAAAATTTGCTTTAAATAGAATGTGTAACCAATTATTTTCATAATGGAAATCTGTTTTTTTTTTTTTTTTTTTTTTTTTTTTTTTTTTTTTTTTTTAAATTTTACGTTAAATAGAATGTATGGCCATTTAGTTTTAAAGTAGAACGAAAAACTGGAAGGTAAAGAAGTAAATATAAATTCTGAAATTTTATCGAAGGTTAGAGTTTTGCATTGTTGGAAAATTGCTCATATTTTTGTTTATAATTTCTCCATTTCTAGTTTGTGCTAAACCACCATCCATTCTCCTTTAATGCAGCCACACTTTTATGCGGCTTAAAAAATTATTTCATGAGGGTATAAATAAATGCACCTGAGTTTGAGGTCTTTGTCATGCACTTAAAACAATCCAGAAAAATATTTTGTTTTTTATAAATTTCAGAATTTTTGCATGAGCATATGAAGTCCTAGCAGAAACGTTTGTGATTTCTTGTCTCTCGTGAAATCCGTTTTGAGTAGAGCCCGATTACAATTAAACATAGTATTATCGATGCGGCCATATACTATATGGGGTTCATTGACTATGATAGGAAATACACTGGCACCTCGGTGTACGTCAGCTTCGAAAGTCATTAAACTTAGTACACTTCCTGCTTTTGAAGCGAAAAGTTTTGTTTGGTATATGATATTTTTTTCGAATTTGACTAGAGTTCGATGAATCATAACTGCACACACTACTCTTCAAAACAATGCTACGACTGCCAATGAGGCTGTGGCTACTATTCAGTAAACAACCCGCGCTAAAACTCTGAAGTTTCAAGTGATTTTGTGTTTTTTCGAGTAAAATGTTTATACCTTGTTATTACTTATACCTTGTTTTACAGTACCTTGCATTATTCACAGTAATTTAGTTTTATCAGATTTTAAGCAATGACACGCATTGAAATGTATAAAACATAAAACAGAGAATTGCTTACCATGGTTTCTTCAACGCAAGGGAGAGATTTTTCTCTGTTTATAGCTGAAAGAAAGAGTATTGTCATTCAAAAAGATCTTGAAATATTCCTTCATGTTTAATACATTAAAATACCTTTTGATATTCCGGAAATAAAAATTAATTCTCCTGCATCACCAAATGAATTTATACGAAGTATTATACTTGGTACCGAGGCTGAATAACTTAACAGTAAAGACAGAAAGATAAATGATATTTATGCAACGAATATGTTAGTAAAATAAAATATTACATCTGCAAAGATAAGAAGGTCACTGAGGATATCTGAAAATTTTATAAATTACAAAACGTTATTTTTTCCAGTAGCAACATAAGATTCATAATACACGTCAGACACGTCAGTATATGGATTTTCATCATAGACCCATCAAGTAATATTGAAGTTTTAGAAAACTGACTTAATATAAGTATTGAGGACTACTTGTCGTTACTGTAAGAAATATTCAACATTATTCTTCTCAAGATCTGCTAATGTTTCACTGCCATTACGAACATTTCCAACTAAATAGCTTCCTGATATGACATGGAAACTTTCTTGCACAATTTTATATCCGAGCTCCAGACTGAACAATGTTTATGGGTTGACGCCACTGACATACAGCAGTATACTTTCTCGTGCCCATCTGCCGATCAAAGAAAATCAACTCAGATAATCTAACTTCATTCCTAAAATAGTGTTCCGATAAGGCCGTCTCTTGCATAAAATAAATTGCAACTTGTAAAAGTTAGCCCACTTTAAGCTCTTATGCCAAACTGCATAACTATTTTGACGTCTTCTCAACAAACACACCACAGTATTCTATAATCACTTCATTTTTTATAATCATTCTTGCTACAGCTCATTTCAGTAACGTTTCATTAAGGACAAACTGTCTTTTTAGTTCTTTGTATGTCTTCATGAACTTTTCGAGGTGTCGTCAACTGTACTTTTGTCTCATAAGGCATACAAATCTTTGCCTTAGATATTCAAAAGATGACACTCTGTATGCTAGCTGCAGATTCCTGGGGCCGTGTTTTAATCTCGGAGAAAGCGGGGATGTTTGTATATCTTTGTAGTGTACAGTTTCTGCGATATACGGGCAATAAAATAATAAATAAATAAATAAATAAATAAATAATTTTAATAAAATCCTTCAAGTCGAAACATTGCGAATAAAGCGTTTGGTCTTCTGGAAGGTTGTTTATCAAAATTTGAACAACACTTGACTAAAGTCATACTGTCATTTATAGAGTGCTCAAGGCCTTGATCAACTACAGGGGTTACCCTCTTCCCTTGCCCGTGATGAATTTCGTGGAGAAGGAGGAGAAGCAACAACAATAGAGACTCCACAAGCTTTCTAAATGTAGATAATCGTAAGTGTGGCCGCATTTGTTAAGTCTTTGCTACAGATCAATTGCCCTCATCTTGTTTCCACCAATTATATGTATTTACTACCCTTTGCTGAAGCAGGAACTCTAAGTACATATATGAATTGAATACGCTGGTCTTTACAATTTCAGTTTGACAGGTAAGACCCGTGTGTACAAAGATTATGTTAGGTTATTTGAGTAAGGCAAGGACACACAAGGCTATCTGCCTTGTGTGTCCACGCACGAAGAAAGAATGCCTTTGTGGTGCACTTTCTATGAGAAATAGATTATATTCGCATTACGCATAGGAAAAACCACGAAAATCAACCAAGCAGAAAGCTCATGAGCTACCAGACTCAGCCAGTGGTGGGACGCAGTTGTTCAAAGCCTTTCCATCCATTGAACGAAAGCTTGAATCTACTAGCATCTGTGTGCAGGTCTTCAAATCTTATAAATTCTGTGGTGAATGTATGAATTTCTATATATCATTTTGTTCTCTTATAGATGCATCTACTCCCTCCAAGTTGAATTATATTTTGTTGTTCAAGTAATGAATTATTTCGCTCTTATGTAAATATATTATGTGCATATGAATAAAACGATTTAGTGTGATCAATAAAGATACCTTGCACATAGTAATACATACACCAGTAAGTATTAATGATTAAATCAGTCAATTAATAATAAGATTTTAGATAGCGTTATATATTCTCGTCTTATGACGCTTTAAAAAGTAACAAAAACCTTTTTCTTCAGGTTCTCTGCTAAGAAATGCAGAATGGCTCCCTTAAACGCATTTTTACAAAGTTTCTATGATTTTTTTAACAAAAGCAGTTACAGAACTGTGTGATTTTTCTCCCAGATTTCACTATATTCCTCGAAGACAAGGGAGAAGAAAGAAAAAAACTGCAGGTAGTTAATTTTGCTATCTCTGATGGCAACAATTTGCTTCTTGCGCCGCTGTATGTCTCTCCGTTTTAACATGAATACCGAAATTTAAAAATAATTATTAAAGAAAATTTATGCGTTTTACTATACAAGAGCAGCATCAAGCAGCTTTCCCTAAAAGCTCCTTCTTAACTTCAAAATTTATCGAATCATGTGATATATAAGATATAATTACTATTTACTGTTTATAGTTCTAATTGAGTAAAATTCATTTTTATTGTGGCATGTTTTTCAGTCCAATTTTTAAGTATATATACACGCTGTGTTACATTTTTCTGATTTTGGTTGTTCGTAAAAAAAGGGGAACGTATTCTTTTAAAGAAAGTGTTAAATATATATGGGCAAAGATTTGCTATTACTATCCGAAAGAAGGAAAATAATGCAATTTCATACGTGAAAAGATGTTTTAAACTTGTTAGTTTGATTCAATTATCATAATACGAAGAAAATTACATGTAGATTTTAATTGTGAAAATAATATTATTGCACAGAAAATGTGCTCATTTGTTTTTCGATATTTTTTCTGTTTTTGTATTAATTAGATTTCTTCGTTTTATTTTCATTTTGTTATTACTGTACTCATGAGTTGTTTTAATAGCAATCCAAAATTATTTAGCATTATTGAAACAAATTATCACTGCCCAAAACAATATTTTGAAGAAGATAAACTATAAGTTGTCGGCTTTACCTGTTGAGTTCCCATTTCGAGACGTATCTTTTTAGAATATTAGTGACCGAGCAGTTGTTGAACCTGCGAGAAATTGTTAGCTGAATACTAGCAATTTCACCCAGGTTTGAACCCAAACAAACGGGCTGTCTGCATGATTGGTTTTCGTGGATTTTGTTATAAGTGACGTGAATAGGACCCTGTTTCCATTAGAAAGTCATCCAGGATGGTATCCTTTACTTAATATGATAACTCTTGTAGGCTTTGCTGTAATAAAATAACCTAATATAACTTCTTTAGACTATTTCAGTAACCACAAAAGAATTTCATGATGCATGAAAAATAACTAACGAATGTTTTTAAATTCGTAGCGCTATAAAAAATTAAAAGTTTTGACTCAACTAAACCCCTCACGAGTAAATGGCAGAACTGTAAACTCAAAACAATTGAATACCTAAGTGAAAGTTGGAATACTACAAGACAAAATTAAATATATTATTTGATTATTACATACAAAATTGGTTATAATGCCAGGTATATGTATAGCTTAAGAGTGATAAAAGTAAATAAAAGGTGGCGATGTATTTCAAACAAGTTTCAAACTACTGTACTGCACAACAAATTTCCAACATAGAATAAAAATGAAGCATGTTAGAATGCCTATAGAATTTCTAAGGGGATAAAAGAGCATTTCTCCTCACCACACAAGAAGGAAAAATAAAGCAGAAACCTGGAACAAATAACCTGGGATGGCATACTAACAAATCTGTACTAGAATTCAAGACTTAGAGACAATGACAGAGTTATTTCCTGATTCACACATAATGTATGTGGCCATATAGGATTAGCAAAATACTCGAAGTTTTAAGTAACTGTGCATTATTCTGACTTCTAAGGCATAATACAGTGTTTGTCATTAAAATTGTAATAGCAAAAAGCACAACAGGTAACACAACTAAGTTTACGTATTCATTATAATTGGAAAATAGAATTATTCAAATTTTAAGTACATTAGAAAAACAAAGCGTATCATAATCTGAGGCGAATATCGTCATCAAGAGCTGAAATAATCACTGCTATACGACGAGAAAGTCGAAGAGACTGTGGATGGCATTTTGGGACATTGTCCATAAGGCTATAATTTGTTGCCAGGATTTAGTTACTATAAACGCTCGTAATCTTTGTTATGATAGTGTGTGTGACACCATAATCCAAACATATATGTCGGTAAAAGATCTGGTGATATCGTAGAATCATAACTTGTTGTGTGTCTAAGAAGTATCGGATTTTGAAAGCGATGTTACGGTCGCGCATAATAGGCAGGCTGCTAGAAGACCAAAGACTGCTTCTTAAAGCGATATCAGGTAAAGACAGGTCTTAACCCGTTCATTAATGTAGTGCTGATTGGTTATAATGCCAGGTATATGTAGCACACGCGAAAATGTTTGTCTTGTTATATCCAATATTGAAACTCCTGGTGCTGGTCCGATATAACAACAGTGTAGAAGTATATATGTGGTATATTTAATTATGGCAAAGCACACTAGGGCTATCTGCCTAAGGGGAGGGATGCCTTCGTGGAGGGCTTTCTAAGGGAAACTGGATCGTATACACGTTACACATGGGGAAAACCACGAAAACACCCATGCAGCCAGCCCGTTCGCGAGATTCGAACCTCGGACCGAACTACCAGTGTTCAGCGACTTTACCGCTCAGCCGCTGGTGGGCTCAACAGTGTAGAAGACAAAATTATAATTAAGCATTTCTCACGGTCTCTGCATACGTGCGCACATTTATCATGTTACAGGTAGAAGTGGGACTCGTCTTAGAAAACGGCATCATATCATTCATGTATCCCTGTTGCATTTTTCAGTGCAAGATTATAGCCCCAGTTAAGAAAGACAATGAGCATGGTGCAAGAAATCAGTGACCTTCAAAACAGCATCTCATCTTGCAATCTTAGATGCAAACATTTTTTCCAATGTCGGACACCTTATTTCATCTAATGCTGAGATGTGGTTGAACGATCCTTATGGACCATTCCCACAAGATGTCTATCTACACAAGCACTGATGTGTCGACGTTGTGAACCTGCATGATCTTCCGTCCTTCTTGCTAGAACGGCCTTTCCTTTCATATTCCTTCATTTCCTTTCATATTCAAGATTGTCCGGTTTCGAACAACGTGAACAGCAGTTTGGAGGCATGATAGCTCGCAATCTTGGTATGCTTTATTCTTCTGTTATCGAATTCAGGGATATGCTGCTGTACGTTCTATCTGCCAAACGCGTTCTTTCTTCTCTTTTACATTGATTTTAGATGTCCATTACATGCATATGCGTTACCTTGCTAATTATTTTCATGTGCTTCAGTACTGTATCTATTATGCGAATTTCACGTCGATAGGCGACTTCTCTCACAGTGGCCGAATTTTAATGACTAGCAGTGCATTTCAGAGAAGAACTATTCTAAGATTTCCATATCAACGAATTCCTAGTATGAGTTTTTTTTTATGTTTCCTGCATATGTTTACACTTTTAAAATTTTAATTAACATTTTCGAAGTATACTGATATATACACTTGAACTCCTAATATTTAGAATAACTGGGTTGAAGTAATCCGGATGTCCTAAAAATTTGGATAGCCGAATTTTTTTTCTCGTTTTCCAATGCTTACTTACTGAAACGTAAATTAAGGAAATTTTATCCTTTTGATTAATTGCATTATATTTCTATAAAGACTACACAACAAAGAGGGAGAAGAAAGAACTTTATTCCGGTGAAACAAAATTAAAAATACCCTTTTTCGGTAAGATTAAGCAATTCAACTATTTCTTACTCGCTTAACACGCTTTCCATCCCATTTCAACAAGAATAAAGCAATAAATTAATTTTTATTTACTCTAAAACTAAACACAAGATCTCTTATCTTTCCTATTATTTTCAGTCAAATTAAACGAATATATTTAATTTCTAGTTAGCGTTTACTGCATTAAATAAAATGAATTATTCTTTATTGGGTAAGATAAGTTAAGTAAATGATTTCTTATTAAAATTAATAAACTAATAGTTAAAAGCACATAAGTAAATTAGCAACTATTATTTTTCTGCAGAGATTTTAAATGTGTAAAAGTTTACCTTCGAACTCTTCTTTTATTTTCATGATGTAGTCTTTGCATTCTTTGTTACCGTAAACCTGACCAAAGCTCGCCACAGCAATAACCACGATGATGGTGAGAACAGAATTCATTATTCGAACGCTGAAATGAAAGACTAGAATGGTAACTGAGAAAGTAGGCTATCAATTCGCCTTTTTATTTAGCATCAGTGAGAAAATTTTAAGTTGCGTGTGACTTTTTTCAAAAAATCAGTGCATTAGAATAAATAAATTTTCTGCTGAATAAAAATGCACTTCTTTTGTTGAATTTGATTTTATTTCCCCCTTCCTCTACGAAATTCAGGCAAAACACAGGAAAATCTAAAGTTTTATGAATTTTAAAAAAGGCTGATCAAATTTGATTTCGTGTCACTAAGCATTAGTGTTTGAGTGTTTGTTGCATACAAAAGCGAAAGCAGAAAAATAAACATGAATTAGTTTGCTTTACAATTTTCAAAGCTATGAGTGAGGTATATGTGCTGAAATACAAGGATGTTTCGAAACCAAGCTTAATTTTATTTTCAAAAGAATATCAAGAAACATACGGAAACAGAATTTCTCTAAGAATTTCTTGAATATCGTTTTCGGATAATTATTCTTTTCACTTTAAGTATATTTCTTTACAAGTTTAATTTGCGTCACAGTTATACCCTGTCCGTTTATTCAGTATTTGTGATTTCAGTTAGCCACTGTTAACCGCGTTGTAAAAAAATATTTTGAAAACAGAATAAACTGTTTACGTACTTCGAAAAGCTGTCATTTGAGAATTGATCATAACATCAAAAAATACACCTTGTGGGAAAAAAAAAAGGAACAGTTCTACAGTTCTATATTTCCTTTTCTACTGGATCCACTGTCGAAATTTAACTTGCCTTTTCCATGTCTCGAAAGCCCGAGTTCTAACATAGGTATTTTGATACAAAATCGGACTTTTTCAGAAATAACATACCACTTTTTTTCCATGTTTCGATTCTACGATTCAAATTATGCCAAAGTGTCAGTTTTTACAAAAATCACACAAGTCGTTTTTAAAAAATTAGCTTTCAAAATTTTAGCTTCTCCATGTTAAATGAATTTGGTATATATTTATTAACATCTCTTTTTTTTTTTTAATAAACTTATTTGTTTCTTCCATTCACATTTCGAAATTTAGGTTCCTTCCAAATAAAATTCGTCCATTTTTTATGAATTATTTTTAAAATAATTTTTATAAGTTTTTCGAAAAAATTTTGAATTATAACCTACAAAATTTTTACCATTGTCTTAAAGTATATGTATTTCTAAGTTTACCTGCAAACAATTAGAATTTTTATTCGAAATTTTCTAAGATATACGTGAATTTATATATTGGCGCGTTTTGAAATTTGGCATATGTGTTATAAGTGATAATAACGCCAAATCTGGTTTACGCACTTTGTTAAAATTATTTGAAAGTATGAACGACGACCCTTCTTCCGCGCGAGAACGATTCAGAGCGAAAATAAAGGGAAAGAAAATAGGTTGTTATAAATTAAGAAGTTCGCCAAGTGAATAATTCTTGGCGCAAACTGAAAATGCGCAAAGATAAATTTTTAAATTTTTAAATTTCTCCAAAAGTTTCTCACTAAAAGTTACAAAATTAAATAATTGGACATAATTTGAGTCGTAGAATCGAATTATAGAAAAAAATTGATATGTTAGTTCAGAAAAGTCCAATTTTTGTATCAAAATACCTACTAGAACAATGCCATATATAAATCTAATATATGTCCTAAGTTGCGCTTTCGAGACATGGAAACCGCCAGTTAAATTTCGACAATCGATCCAGTACAACAAGAGATATAGAAACTGTCTTTTTTTTTTTTTTTTTTTTTTTTTTTTTTTTTTTTTTCCTAGTGCTTTATCTCTGAAGAACTATTGTTTTCGTTTTGCGTCGATTCACTTCAAACGGCGAATCACTTTTCAAACGAATCACTCTCACAAAGTATTATCGCCCTGTGTTATATTTAAAGAAATTAAATAATGGAAGATCTGCATGAATATAGGCATGTGAAAGACCAAATTTCAAATTTGGAATTTGTTTTATGATCGATTTCCTATTTCGCAAAACTTTAACGAATTTTCGATTAACAAACTCAAGGATTTCAAAGCAAGCAATGGCAACGTTGTACAGAAGAAATATATTTATCTCGAGCGCGTGAGTCTCTGTATCGGAAATTATAAAGATATGCTCATTTTAAAACTATTTTGCGACATTGCTGTTGCACTGAATTTTATGGTTTAAGTGCGAAGAATGTGATGTTTAATAAATAAATGTAACACACAAAATGTTAAAAAAAGTCCCTTTGGACGTAATTTAAAATCTGAAACATTTCAGATTTTCTTTTTTTATTTATTTTATTCAACATGTACATCAAACAGCTCCGTATCGTTAACGATTCCGATAATGATAAAAATTTGTCAGGAATTTAAGAATCGATAGTTAATTGCTTCATGCCTCCATTAGTTTAGGGTTAATGTCACAAAACACCGGTAGTTCGAACTGGGCTCAAATCCCGAAGAATAGAAGATTTTTCCGGATTTTATCCTGTGTAACGTGATTATGAGCGAGTTTTCTTTATAGTTCCTTTATACTGTCTTTACCCATGTCTCTTAACACTACAAGGAATTGATGTCCCTTTTTTCAGCTTACTCTATGATAACGGCGAAGGTATGACTCTTATGATAGTAGTCAGAGCATCTAACTTAACGATTGGAAGGTCTCAGGTTCGATTCTCGGCAAGAACAGGATTTTTTTCGTTTCATTTTTTTAAGATTATAAAACATTTATAACTCTACAGTTCGGACTCACTTGCATGATTTAACTTCAGCTAAAATAGTTTCATAAAATGGCGTTTTCATTATGTATGTCGTAGAAAGTGATGTGAATGTAATAATATAAACAATATAATATTAGTAGAAAAGAGTGAAGTTGCTCTTCTTATGCAGTAATAATTTCGAACGGTAATGGAATATAGTATATGTTAGCTCTGTGACAGTCATTTAGTGGGAGATAAATTAGCATATTAAAATTATCTTTATTGGACTTCTAATGTTGCGCACATTAAAGAAAAATTAGTAAAACAACCTCGTAAATTTTTAAAAGATGAAAGGCAAAATGAAAACAAATCTTTAAAGTATGTCCGTTTTTATTTAAAGAGGCAGCCCAACGAAGGGGGCAGATCCCAGCAACCCCCAAGCGAAACCTTCGTTTAACCATTAGGCGAACAGAAACCTGCTTATCCTACAACAAACGAGCACCACTGATCCGGGCATGAATCTTAATTTGTGACATTTACTGTTTAAATTTAAAAGGAAATTACTCTTTAACCTAATCCTCCGGAAAACCAAGCTCAGATACCGAATGACTAAAAAGGTTAAGAAAAGGAAATATACCAAACATAAAAATATCCACGTCTCTGCTCTTCTATTGATATCCCTGCCTAAGAGGAGGGATGCCTTCGTGGAAGACTTTATAAAGTAAACTGGCTCTTATTTATGCATGAAAAATGCCACAAAAATTCCTATGAAGCCCGCTCGTTCGCCTGGAATTGAACCCAGATAGGAACTACCAGTGGTCAAAGATTTCACCGCTTGGCCGCTGGACCAATTGTCGCCAATAACGGCACATATATAACAATTTTCATTCTCTTGTATTCCAAAGCGATTCAAATAAGCCGGGAATTATCTATGAGCAGTTATAATTTGATTTATGTCAATATTATTGTACATTTTCATTTTCTGTTCAATCTCTAAGTAATCTTTAAGTCTATATCCAGTATTTTTTGCAGACGATCCCCAGCTCTCTCCCCTTTGTTCGATTACTTCTTTTTCTCATTTAGTTCTTTGCCTTGAACTCTGTACATTTAAATCTTAACCGTCACAGCTAAGGGCAGCCTTTTTTGCCAGTGTGTCCGCCCTCTCATTGCCTACAAAGCCCACATAGCTTTGTAGTTTATATCAAAGAACGTCTATGTTCGAATACATATTCTTTGCTTTATATTGTATATTTATATTATCCAAAGTATTTATTATGGTTTATATTATTAAAGTTTATATTATAGTGGTCAGCCAAAGTCCTATATTCATTCTTAATTTGCTTAAAAGTATTATCATACCCGAGCTAGCAAACTCGTGATATGTTGAGAGTAGACAGTATGGAGGAGATTGTCTGCCTATCAAGTAAACATGGTTGTAATGATTATACACCAAGTTATTTCCTATTGTTGAAGATAATACATGATATATTGCTCTGAGCTTTGTCTGAGAAATAGTATTTGATTTCTGGAAGAATGTATTTTCCATTTTCAATTTCAATACCGTACAGGTACGCTCTCAACACCTCGATTAACTTCAAAACCATCTATATGAAGTCCCGTCTAATTGGTTCCCAGCAAGTTCTTACCAAAATTAATACCCCTTTCATCTGCAGGATAACTTTGGATAGCATTATGATTGTCAAAGATTTCTTGCCTTATATATACGTACATGATTTCTGATTGATCAATTAAAAAATGTTTTAATAAAAATTTATTATAATAAAATTTTTGTTATGAGAGAGGAGGCACACCAGCAAAAATACATTTCACCTCCGCTGAAATGGTCGTAAAATCTCTAGATTTTACGACCATATCAGCGGAGTCAATCAGATAGTCTGCAGAGACGTCCAGCCTCTCTGCAGACTATCTGATTTCTGATCGGGATAGTGACTTTTATTATTATAGGAATGACTACATTTCGGAATACAAAACCCACAGTGGTACTTTTTTGCGCAATGATGTCAAAGGAGGAAATATTTCTATAATATCTAAAAACTGAATCAGTTCTTCTTTCTGTATGCTGTAATGTATTTTGCAGTAATTTACAAAACAGACAATCTTCTTAGTAGAACATAAATTTTATTTCTAGTTCTCGGTGATAGACAAATTTTATACAATTCTTAAGTGGCAAAATTTTAGTACTACTCCTAGCTGGCAAAATCTTCAGAATACTAAATCTTTTTATAACAATATCTCTCGTTGCTGAGTAACGGTTTGATACAAATATGGCGTTGCCACTTCAACAATAATTATATTTATTTATTAAATTACAAATATTACAACCTCTCCCCTCCAGATAAA